TCTCTATAGGTTTTGACCCAAGCGAGTAAAAATATTAAATACTGGTTAGTGTTAGTCAGCATACTAACACTAATTAATATACTAGATTCGATTATTGGGGCAAACCACCATATACCGGACATGGAGTGGGCGTGGCTGGCACTTTATTTGAACCTGGCAACGACTGCGCTTCGATGGGGATGTTTTCGTTTTGGGACAGTGGCAGTCACGTCGTTGTCCAACAACAGACAAGATTGTAGTCGTTCCGAATGGAAAGGTCCCATGAAATGCGCGTCCTCCGCCACGTTCAAATAAAGTACCCTTCCATATTCGGGATATGAAGTGTATGTCAGCTGTAAATTACGAAAGCGTGCTGGTTTGGTTGTGTTTTCATGCTCCAGTGCTTCCGATTGAGAGCCCAGGTACAGCACAGGGATGGGGGAAATAGTGATGTCAGACGACCCCCTCCTCTCTCGAAGCATTCTTCCATCCCCCTTCTCCATCCTATTTCTCATCCTGGTAAGTTTTACCGGCTCCCACCAGCTTGACTGCTAGGAAAAATTCCTGCTAAGGCTACATACGACCCCTTTGACCAAAAACGGCCCTCTGATGGGAGCTCCCAAGGATGCTGTAGACTATGTGGCCAGTCATTCGTTGACAATTCTCTTATTCTACAGCGCCATCAAATCTACTAGGAAAACCTTTTCATTCTGTTTGAAGTTGATAGCATACTTTTCAGGTTACCTGTAAGAAGTGCAACACTGAGATACCACCTGGGACACCATTTTATAAACAGAACAACCAGCCCAAATGCGAAGATTGTTGCATTGTGCGTTCTTTACAATTAGATTTTGTTTTGCAGAAAAACAAGTCAAAAATATATTGAAGTCTTTCATCCAGCGTGCAGCATTGTTCTAGGGCGTGTCAGGGGCTGGGCTAAGTGCGGCGTCAGCCCCTTCCTTTATTGTTCTAGGGCGTGTCAGGGGCTGGGCTAAGTGCGGCGCCAGCCCCTTCTTCACCAAATGTTGAAGCGCGGCAGCGACAAGAACATGTGGAGAACGGGCTGGCGCTGCCTCTTCATATGTAGGCTGCATGACCTACGGAAAGCTAGTATGTATGCGTCAGTGAGTGTAATATTACACGATACGTCCCGTTGGGATAAATTTATGACCTCTCCGCCACGCTGGTGAATCTCTTTTATACGACGCGCGAGTCACCTACGGAAACTATTTTGCAAACACTGTATCTTTCTCTGCGACGGCTATACAATCTCTTTCCAGCGACAAGCGAGTGGCAACCCACTTTTCCCACTGCAATCCATTGTCATCCGCACGACGTGGTCGCGTCCTACCACTTTTCCAGATTCCAGAAATTCAGCGATTTTTCATCGAAAATCCGCTGAGAGGCCACGGAGAGGGATGGAGGGGGGGGGGGTTATAGCGTACGATGAAGAGGAAAAACTGAGCTCAATCACAATCACTGTATTCGGCAGCAAATACGACACCACTTCCTCCGTGACTTACGTACCCCCCCCGCTGATGGGGATCAATAACGTACTAGGTGCCCGGATCAGAGGTCTTCATTTCATGCCTTGCCACTCCAACTGATGCATGACGTTAGAACGTTCATATCAGTCAGTCCCGCGCGGAAAGGAGCTAATTCCAAAATTAAATATTCCATCTTTATTTTCATGGTGTAAGGTCGTAAATGAGTTAAGAGGAGAAGCAACAGTTTCATTTCAGGCGGACGGCGTCAGAACTACCCCACAGGTCTCCTCAAAGCCGGTACGTTTGAATGGATATGTGCATGTCATCGATAAGAACTGATCGAACTCGCCGAGAAGAACTTGTTGGCGCAGTTCGGCGACGGAGGGGAGGGGTTTATTGCATTTTCTCTGCTTCACTGGTTTTACAAGTCTCTCTTTGGAGGAACTTGTGAATTCTTAAGAAGCCTAACCAAGCTCGTCCAACCACCATGGTGAAACAAGCTCACGAAGTGGCTCTCTAGATGGGCTGACGCGTCGATGGGAGCAACAAAAGTGCAAAATCCTCCCCTCCGGTCAACGAAATGTCCCGAACTTGTCTATTTGGAAATGTCGTTTTTCAGGTACAATGCAAGACGTGTAAATTGGCGATTCCGCCTAACACTCCATTCTATGAAGTGAATCATGCACCAAAATGCAAGAACTGCTGCATGGTGAGCCTCTTCCTTCAAAAGCTTCACACATATTACGCCCTGATCGTCTGTGCAGTATCGCTTGGATGATTGAGTTCCTCTAATTCACCTCTTGTCTTACTGTGTTGGACCGTTGATAAGGAAAGGGCATTTGTTCAGAGAAAAATCCGCTCATAAGATTGTCTGCAGGAAAGTGGTCCATGGACAACTTGAACCCAATCCCCTTAGTAAGGTTGCGTTCATACTTTGCGAC